GTTCTTATGTTGTTAATTGTAAAGTAAAAACTGCAATAATTATCAGCAGACAAACTTGTTTTACAAAAAGTGTATTTTTTTAATTTGCTAGAAATTGTCAGATTTTGACTAATTTACAAAGTACTATTTGTTCCCCTGGTAACGTGGGAAAATAATTTATATGTTGGCATATGTTGGGTGCATGAAGTTAAATTTTTTTATTACTTAATTTATAAAAAATATTGTCAATTGTTTTCTCTGTATTTAGCGTCTAAATTTTGTAAATATTTACCTAGAGGAATTTTAAAAGTAGTAGAATAATTTTTTTTTTTGCTGTTAATTGTGCTGTTTTTGTCTCTTTCATGATACTTATACATAATTTTTATACTTATTATACTTTTAAGCTTTTCCGACATTTTCGACCCACCTGATATGTGTATTTATATTCTCAATGAGTAAACGTCAACATAGAAAAGTTTACTATGTAGTGGTTGCTTCTATACCTGAATAATTGTTTTAACGTGACAGTCATAATATATTTTGTTAAGAATTTTTTGTATTAAAATTTTGCATTATTTTTTGATTGTGTGAAATGTTATAAACTGTTATAAAATGTTATATTTGTGTGCGCGTAATCTGAAACGAGCAAATCTGTAATTAAAACTTCATTATTCTGATTCAGTGAAAAGAAAAGTTAATTTTTCTCTTGATTTTGGATTGGGAATTTTTTAACATCATTTTTCTTTGCTACCTATTATTTATGTGTGTGTATTTTTTTGTATTTACAGTGCTAAAGTTATTCATTTTAAAATAAATAGTACGAGTATTAGTTATTTTAAAACAATAATTTATTCAATTCTGCTATCTTTACTGAGTCTTTAATAGTAAAAATGAAAATTGAATCAAAATTATCAAATAGAAAAAGTATTGTAGGTAACAAGTCTCTAGTAGTATTGGCAAGTAAGATAAAAATTGCTGTATTTTTGTTATTCAAAATAGTAGATACTTCTAATTGTGCTAGAATATTTTCTCATAGAACTTGTTTTTTTGATTACCTAACAAACAACTTTTTTTTCCTATACCTACCTGCCTATCAGGGTGCGCATCTCAGAGAAAAATGCTATGTAAGATAAGATTCCAGAAACAACGAAAAAATGTTAAAAAAAGTCTATCTATAAAAAGTTTGAATTTATGAGAGTTTATTTTGACAATTTATTTCTGTTGGAAAAATAATTTTCTAAATTGTAACTCTGTTTAATGTTATTTGTGACTTTTATTTGCAAAATGTTTGTACTTCTATTAAATAATTATAAAAAAAACATATACAAGATCATCAATATCATTAAATAGACATAAAAAAATGTCAAATATCAAAAAAATCAAAAATCAAAAATTTTTGACAGATAGAATTTTTTAAACATTTTTTTCCATGTTCTTGGTATCTTATCTTACTTGAAATGTTTCTCTGTAGCACGAGTACTGACACCCTGTATAAGTATTTTATTTGGCTTTATGTTAATTCCATCAAATAGCCATCCAGAAATGTTAAATCCTTGTCAGTTTAAAAAATTTGCCGAAAGCAACGTAAAATTACAATTGTGAAGATGAATTTTAGAAAATTAGACTATTTTTGAATTGATCAATGCGATAACAGTCTCAAAACTAGCTTTTTTACTTTTTTTATATTTATATTATAAAATTAAGATTTTGTCTTTGGTATCCAAGTTATATATTTAGCTATAATTAGGCATAATGTACTTTAATTGCTTTCACACAAGCACAATTAAAGTAAAGAAATATTTTGATGTAGAATGTAATCACTATTAATCGTGTAAAATCTTCCATTTTGTATTGTAAAGATGAAGTCATCGATCCGTCGTCTATTGAAGTCGGTGATTTCAATGCCGACCGACATGCCGAAATTTACTATTTGTGTGAAATTCCTCGCTTAAAAACCAATAGAAGCAAAATAATTTTTCACCAGTTTTATCTTTCTTAGGTACCTAATAGGTAGTTTTAATCAATTTCTTTCATCAAGGATTACCATAATGTGTTAAAAAAATCGAACAGATGCATGTTGCAGTTTTCTGCAACACATTGCTTATAAATAATGTTGTAATTATGCGTATTATTTATCAACGCGTCCACACGTCTTTATTAATGTCGGCACGGAGAAACTCACACAACAAAATGGCTTCCAATGGCGGCGCTCTTTGACGTGCATTCTTTATACGCGCAAATGGCTTTCCGGCACACGGCAACATAATATATTCGAATTTAATTTTCAAGTTACGCCTCTTCATATATAAAATACTACATTAATCATCAGGCAAAAATCTATTCTTTTTTTATAACGAGAGGAGGGGAGTTGCGACGATCAATGGCCGGCGCAGGATTCAGCACGCTAATACTCAGATTTTTTTCGAAATTTTTATCATTTTAGTGTTTGTATTGGAGAAAATTATTGACTTGTAAGGACGATCGCATCAGTTACACAAACCAATTGGATTTTGCTGAAACACGGTGATACAGCATGTAAAAATACACGTTAGATCGATCCATTACCTTGTAACTTTTCGTTTTGTTCCTTTTGAACTCTTTGTAGTATTATGATTTGGATAATACTTATACTCTTATTCAGAAAATATCGTAATGTTTATCGATAATTGAGATGCGATTTTAAAATTTTTTTTTAATCGAGGTGTGGGTTTTTACAGGTTTCAATTTTAAAAGATGTTACAGTTAGCTTTCGACCAATGGGAGATTAGAATTAAGGGCACACGAATGTGGGGGTTTCAGAGCTTTTAGCTTTAACATTCAGTAGTTCAGCGACGGATTATTTCAGTCGATCTCATTAGTTTTTTTTCGCTTATTTCTTTGTTTTTGTGATAGGAACAATGGACGACCATTATGTAAGTGGCTTTTTCTCAAATACGCGTAAAAAATAAATTATTTATCTATATTTCAACTAAACCTGATTTATTTCGCTTTCAGTTGTGTTATAGGTACTTAAGTTATAAAAATAAAAATTTTAGAATTACTCTTAGAGCCATTAATTCACTTTTCACTTTTGACAGATTTATTTGCATTTTTGTCCAGTTGTAACTAAGTAACTAAGTTATGCTTTTCTTCTACTTCTTATTAGATTAGGTGACGTAGTTAAATTTTTAGCAACGAGCAAACTTTTTAATGTGAGTTAATTAATTTCAGAAATATGCTTGAGAATTATTAAATAAATAATATATAGATAATATATAGAAACTTAATTTTTTTTCTTATTTTATTCTAATTGAGGATATCTTGTGATGTGATAATTCAAATTTGATAATAAAATTTTTAACAAAAATCAAAAATATACAGCGTGTGTTAGAACTCGCGCCTCAGAGAAAAAATTCAAGTAAAATGAGATACCAGGAACATGGGAAAAATGTTTAAAAAATTCTATCTGTCATAAAAAATTTTGACATTTATTTATTGACATTTAACTTTTTTTGTCTATTTAATAATACTGATGATCTTCCCCGGAAGCTACAAGACCGCGCATCTCAATACCTAAGCTCAAAAAACTTTTTTTCTACAGTATAAACTACCTTACTCAAAATCGTAAAAACTTGAGATACGAGGTTTTAGCTTCGCACCGACGATATGTTTTTTTATAATTATTTAGTAAAGGTACAAAAAGTTTTCCAATAAAAGCCACAAATAACATTAAACAGAGTTACAATTTGAATCCAGTTTTTTTATTTCCTCTTGTAATAGCCTATAGCAAAAAAACTTGGAAAATTATTTTTCCAATAGACTTAAATTGAGTCAAAGTATTAAATTTAAACTCTCATAACTTCGAAATCTTTATAGATACAATTTTTTAAACATTTTTTCGATGTTCCTGCTATCTTACCTTACATGGCATTTTTCTCTGGGGCGCGAGTTCTGGCGCACCCTGTATATTATTTATTATATACATATTTATACACATAAAATGTCTTATTAACTAAGACTGTATTGCTTAATATTTGTTATTTATAAATAAAATAGCAAATAACGCATCTTTGCAGTAAAATTTTATGTTGACATTTTATTTTCTTTTAAAAAAAAGTTTTAAAAAATTGTAAAATTAATTAGTCGTATAAATTAGGTCGGTTAGAAATTTGACAGTTTTTACAACTTTAATTTGATTTTTATACCTACATATTGTTTGTAATTGTATTGTTAAATCATAAACGGCATTAAACTTTCTATTGGGGAAAGAATAATAATATTATATAGAAACTTTACGACTATTTTAAGTAAGTTTTAGAAACAGTTTAAACAATAAATAAATTTAAACTATTAGGTACACACGAGTTGAGGAAATAGATAAATGAATTGATATTTTTATAAATATAATTATTACATATTATGCAAACTATTTCTAAGTCTAAATTTTTCTGCTTCTAAATAATATTTTTACATTTAATTAGGACACTCTGCTATCAAGAAAGGCTTATTTCAAATCGGTTTTAATTTTACTATAGTACCTATAGAAAAAAAATCTAAAAAGTTTTGCAACTGCAACTTGCATACTTGTATTATTTTTGCAATAAAGTATTAAGAAACAAGTTAAAATTAATAGGTGATAGGCATGTAATAATAGGTATATCACGTGCCATAACTATCGTTACTTCTGTCACTTTAAACGATGTTTTTTCTGTATGAAATAGTAGATCTTTCTGACTTATTTGTTCGTAGGATTTAGTTGTAACACAGATTCTTTTTTTTTACACAAAAATCAAAAAACACAGTTGCTATTTTGTCACCAGTGTGGCGAGACCTATGGCACAAGGTAGCTAAGAGCAACATCGCGATAAAATTAAGAAAAGCTATTTTTATCAATGATATTCGTGTAGAGTTCCTTCAAAATTGTATAATGTTTGTAGGTATGTGTTTATACATAATTAGGTTTGTGAATAATAGTGATTTGAAAAAATGGAGTATTGTTTCGTAGTTTGTATGGTATTATCATAAATGTTTTATCTTTTCAGGGGAGTGTGTAGTAAAGGCTGAGGAATTATCAGAGTCTTTAACTGGAGCGGACTGTGGCCCCTCGTGTGATTTACCACTAGGGGACCTTTCATTGCCGCTCCCAGAGTTTCTCCTTGACGAAGCTCTTCGTCTTGTCGAATTAGACGACACACCCCAAGTGAGTGTTAAAATGAAAAATAAATCGATTCGATTTTGAATCGTATTATTTTAGGAGACTATTAATGTTAAAGAGCTTGAAAATCTTGCTGAAGGAACAACTAACGAAACTGAACCATCGACTAGCGCTTCAAAAACCACCAGTGAAGAGACATCTTCAAGTTCAAAGGATTCGGACGACGATTTAAGCATCCTCACCGACATGATACAGACATCGCAATTTCATCATCCCCATCACAGGGCTTTTCAGGTATTGTTATAGATAGGTACGAGTATACCCAATAAGACGGAATCATAGTTGCTATTCCTATTGTGCTAACAAATAGTAACCGCTAGTTCAGTTCATTTTTTGCTTCAACGGCTGTAGTTGAAGTGAAGGTTACTTGAAGTAGTGGGGTTTTATAATTCTCATTAGTTTGTTGGGAAGTCACAGTTGTGTCGTTTCGTAATTTTTTTAGGGGTTGAAAAATCGTGTTTTTTTAACCAATATGTATTTTTTTTTGGATTTGAAATTCTCTAAAGGTAAGTCGACCTCGGGTTTGTATCCCTTTTGTACGAAATTACACGTTTTTAGTTTACATTTCTTAATCTCAGGAAATACATGCATCTACATCGTACTTAAAATAAAATTAACATTACCTTGTAATTTTATTGTCAAGGTATATTTTTTTTACATAACCATATTATTTTTAATATAATAAGTCTAATTAGTTGATGTTTTCGGTTTTAAGATGTTGGTAATTAAACATGCCTAACAAATTGTTTCCTTGACGTGAGAAACAAAATTTTCTTCGACAAAATTAGTTTATGCCTACCGGGCTTTAATTATTGAATAGCAACGATTTCCAGAGAGGTAATTACTTTGTACTTATGTAACTGTTGATTAATTATTTTATCACAATCGTTTGTTTACTCCAGCAACGATAAGAAAAAAAAAACTCGTTCACTAATTGTGTGCTCTTTCAGACTCGGGAGTGAAATTTTTATGATGACAGATGAATTGTGTGCACTAGGTAGTGACTTCTCCTTTGTAATTTGCGGGTTCTTCTTGTCAAATTATCATCATGTCGGGTTACCATCATCGGCATCCTCTTTATCTTTTGTTAAAAAATTCTTTATACCTGCCAACGTGCCAGTGGTATCAGGTGTAAAATGTTTTTCCAAACTCGTACTTGTACTGGACTGGTCGTTTTTTATTCCTTTTTTTGAGATTTTTGATTAATTATCCTGCGCCAAGTATTTTCTCGCCCTTTTTTGTGTTGGAACACAAGGGTCTCGTTGAAATTTTCTAAAGCTTTCATTATGTAAGGTTAAGGCCTTCACACTCATATGTTTTCAGTTGTTTCAATGTTGAGGCGTTTCTTCATACATCACGCATCTGTTAACTATTCGATTTTGTTGACATGTTGACCACTTTTTGAATAAATTATACGTGAGATAGGAGTGTTTTATTTAATTTTTTTTTATTAAGTGCTATTAGAAAGTGGTCTAAGAAAAATTTACGGCCGTAACGAATTTTATTGCAAAATTCTGAGCTAGATTAAATTATCCGTTTTTTATTGGTACTTTCAATTTATAAAATGGTAGAAATTTTAATCGAATGAGAAAAAAAATTGATTGACAACTCAACTAATTTACCAAAATGATTTTTTTCATTTTTCTTATGGATTAGACTGGATATCTATGTTTATGTTTATTTAGTGAGAATTTCCGTGGGAATACGCTTCAACAAGAATCGAGTGTTTTATTCAGCTGTCATTTCAAGTGCTTATTTCCACTGGATCAAATTAAGAGACCAAAACATCCACCTGTAACAAATCCACATTTCTAATTCTTCGACTTTTCGTCAATATTGATTCTTCTCTTGATTGTACTTGACTATGTTTGCTTAGCTTAAACTATTCAACTTGTGGAAGAGAGGAACGACGGAAGCAAAATTGTTACTTGACGTATTGCATATTTCAACCCAATTATAAAAAAAAATATGTATTTTTCTAGGGCCGTATGCCTTTTGTGCGTACCGTGAGTATGGAACAACGATGGCAAGACTTGGCGAATTTGTTGAGTCTTCCTAGTCCAGGCGATACCAGCGGCATCCCTCACCCCTTTAGTCACCACCATCCTCTTCACAATTACAGCCATCCCCATGCCCACAGCATGGCGTATAGCCCGGAGGCAACTCGAGGTGTACTTTTACACAACGCAACTTTAACACCGCCAATGGGTGATATAAATGCTACAGTGCCATATAATAATATCGGTAAGTTGGTTTTGAGATGATTTAAGTTTTTATTACTTAATCAAGTATTCTTAGGTGGCACGAATTTGGGCAATGCTGTTGCCACTTCAATGAATCTTACGAATAGTAGTGAACCAATGGGTGAACCAAATTCGGCACCACATTATAAACTTGAGCCGTCACACGATATGATGTATTACCAGGTAAAGGTACCTAATTTGGTGCAGATTTATTGAAATTGTTAATTGTTATTTTGTTTTAATAGAATAGTACAACTGAACTTAATCAGACTGATGGGTTTTTATCATCATTTTTAAACGATGAAGATCTACAGCTTATGGATATGGCGATGAATGAAGGTGAGTGTTTGTGGACCTTGATAACGGAAAATTACTTATCTCATATCTTAAATACCTACTCGACCACTATCGATATAATCTCGAACATACATAGATAACGTGCTAAAATCGCATTATTCGCATTACTAAATATTTAAGTTGCGCATGCGCATTTTGTGTTTGATTTATGTATAGGTACCTACTATTGAATTCGTAATTTGACGTGATGTTTTTGAACCTTATGTAATTATGTACAGAGCGAAGGCCAAATTACAATTACACAAGGAATTATAAACGTTGATGTGCAATCAGGGAAAAAAAATGTTGTCATTATGATAAAAAAGATGAACAATCGCGAAAATAATTTTTTGAAGTTTTGAGCTAAGAGTAAGGGATAAAAATATGCAAATCTTATTAGGTTATTTTTATATTTAGTACGTACAAATATTAAATTTGAACGAACAGGTGGCGGGCGTTTCGTGTTAGCAAAAGCGCGCTAGTTACATATTAATAACAGACAATGTGTCGTTTTTTGGTCAAGCATTGTTTGGTCATTACGTGAATTTTTAATTTGTAATGTGTGGTTCTTAATGAGAAAAATGTTGAATCATCGTTCGGGTTATCCTTGAGACTTGCCTCAAACTGATAAGGAATTCACAGCCAACGAAACATTGTTTTTAATCAGTCTTTTTACTTTTGTGTTCGAACTACAATGTGTGACAGTTTCCAAAGAAATTTACGGCACTTTAGCGAAATGAAAATTTCTTATATCCGCGTCATTGGTCAAGATTGCTGTTGTTGTTGTTTAATTTTGTGTCTTTGTTGTTGTTGCTGTTGCTGTAAATAATTTTAATTTTCGTAAGTTTTACGTTATATGTCACTACCACCAACACAACATTTAGTTTTTTCTTAAAATTTACGTAACTTTTTATTAATACGAGTTGTTTTTTTTCTGGAATATTATCAAGTTTATAGATCAACATATTGTCGATAACATGGAAATAGTAGATGACGCAATTAAATATACATATGATTTTAGTCCTACAATATTTTAACTGATGAGTTGATCTAAAAAACATTATTCAAATTATTACGCGGAAATTTATTTTTTACGTCCAACACCGGATATTAAACTTGACAAACGATTAATCAATACCAACCAACCAACCAACCAACCAACCTTATCGCGATGAATACTCAGAAATTTCCGCGATTCATTGTGTAAAACTCGCATAGTATGTATTAGTAGTAAAATAATTTCCAAATCGGACGCAAGCGCAGTGATAAATAAGTACAACACAAAATGATTTTATTTTATTTTTTCAGGCATGTACACAATGCGTATGTTAGATAGTAACAACGCTGTAAGCAATTTAAGTATGAACGGTACCACAGCCACAGCCACAGGTACCACTACATCTTTATCCCGGACAGATGTAGAAAGGATGGACACTTCCAGTGATAGCGCTGTGAGTTCCATGGGTTCTGAAAGAGTACCATCTCTGTCAGATGGCGAGTGGTGCGATGGCGGTTCCGATTCCGGACACACAGCAGGGGATCACTACGTAACAGATTATCAAACGTACGAAAAAACAACTCTTTGTATTCTGTCATACTGATTGCATTGTTTTTTTTTTCTTCTAAATTTAGAAAATACAGACCGTACGATTACAGCTACACGAGTCGACAACATACTAGCGCTCTAGCTGTCGCTTCAGATGCGACAAGAATGCCACCTGTTGCCCAAAAGAAACACCAAATGTTTGGAAAACGATACCTTCAAGTAAGTACCGCTTCATTTTTTTTCCAAATAAAATTTGCAATATAACTTGAAGGAACGTTTAATACATAAAGTTTGTGCCAGTAATTTATTTGGCCCTAAAACGAATATCATATTATAAAATAGGAAATAAAATTGATGGCTAAGCACACAATAAATTATAAATACATTTTAAAATTTTGATCTGTAGCTGCTTTACTAATTGGCGCATTCCAATAATATTTAAAACATACTGAGTGCGTTAAAAATATATTTTACTAATATTATAATCACTAACTATTAATGATTTTTTATTTAAAAATTGGTTATTTTCTTAATTTTTAGCGTCATACTCTACTCGTATGTGTGAACTCTACTATAAAAATTATAAAAGTTATGCACATACGCATGGACATAGGTTTATTAGGAATAATGTAATAATCAGTAATTACTTTTACGTAATATTTTTTTTTATTACATAGAAAATAAACTTTTTTTTTTTTCAACTAAACATACCGGGTGTCCCACGCAGGCTTGGATATAGGAAATTAACATGGGAAATTAGTTTTTATTTTTTTCCGGCTGCAGGAGTAACAGAAATCAAAGTCTAATTGATGGAGCTTGTAGTGCTCGAAAAGAGCTATCTYATCGWCATTTTTGTCGATTCTACAATTAACTCCATTTGGGCRAAAACGGCCCTCGAAAAATCGAAATTTGAATTTGCCGCGTTAGCGTTACTAAGAAACGAATTATCAAGTCATTGTTGCCAACAGGATACTATCTTTATTATGAYTTTCAGCAAGGAATACATTTTAAATATTGATTTTAGTTTTSTAGTGTTCAGAAATTAAACAAGRGTAAARATTCTAATATCGTARCAAAAAATTCACAAACATGATCTAGAAAAAAAAATTAGGGCATCTTTCTCCTCGRAGTCTCGGGGTTTTTAATCTCATGCAATGTATTTGATCGTCGATCGAAGTTCAGATCTAAAAATCAGATTTTAGTCCACCGATGCTAAAATAACGATTACTTACTGTATGATGTTTGTGAACGTGTTTTTTTASCCTGTTGATGGATTTCTATGCGTGTTTGATACAATTCTAAGGAAGAATACGATGAAAATGATTCTCAATTTCACACATCAACATAACCCCCAATTTTTTCGCTTAACATCTCACTCTAATTTCTAGTTTGCAAATTTTGCGGTTTCATGAAAACCATTTCACTCAATTTTCGATCTGTTTTTTGCATAAACAACCTTCACAAATCAACGATCAACACAGTGTATTAATTCAATCGATGATTGAAAGTTTCATCCTAAAAATTAGAATTTTTAATTTTTATCAAAGGAAGTGTAAAAAAAATAAACGTTACTTACTGCACTCAGTCTTTTCCATCTCTGATGCAGTATTTTGTAATTTTGGTCCAATTTATAGAATAATGTTCAACTTGACAGTTTCAACTATAATTTCAAATGACTTGTCACTTCAATAATGCAAACAAATTTTACTTTGGCTTGAAAAGCATTTTCATTCAATTATTGATGTGTTTTATTGGAAAATTAACATTTTCCAAAAACATTCGGAAAACACAATCATTGCAAGGGTTTTTAGCTGACAAAGTCCCTGTTGGCAACAATGACTTGATAATTCGTTTCTTAGTAACGCTAACGCGGCAAATTCAAATTTCGATTTTTCGAGGGCCGTTTTCGCCCAAATGGAGTTAATTGTAGAATTGACAAAAATGTCAATAAGATAGCCCTTTTCGAGCACTACAAGCTCCATCAATTAGATTTTGATTTTTGTTATTTCTGCAACCGGAAAAAAATAAAAACTAATTTCCCATGTTAATTTCCTATATCCAAGCCTGCGTGGGACACCCGGTATTTTAGTATAAATAACAAATAAAAGTTGATTAAATTATATCTGAATTTTCAATGTAATACATATATACATAAAACCTACATTATGCAATTTGAGCTATTTTCAAGTTTGCACATACTTTGAGGAACGTTTTATAATAAAAATAAATTTATATGGGACATAACAATAACTGTGCATAAAAAAACAATGTACAAAACTTTTTATACAATTTTTGTTACACAATTTCAAAATAATCAGTTGTCTACAATATATACAATAATTTTTTTAATGGTAAAAAACTCATTCAGGGCATCAACAAATTCATATTAAGTCGTCCATTTAGGTATGTCATAAAAGGACATACATTAATTGTGCGCTTAACTATCGAAATATTTACCAAATATGTAGTTTCATATATTCGTAATTGTTAATAGAGAACAAAAATATAAAAAATAACTCAGTATTTTTAATTACTGTAAAATTTTTATAGCATTTTAATTGTTCATATACAGGGTGCGTCAGAACTCGCGCCCCAGAGAAAAATGTATATGTATAGTATAGTATAGTAAGATAAAAATTTAGAAGTTATGAGAGTTTAAATTTTGCATTTTGACTCTATTTATTTCTGTTGGAAAAATAATTTTCCAAGTTTTTTTGTTGTGTTATTTGTGGCTTTTATTGTCAAAATTTTTGTACTTTTTTTTATCAGTATCATTAAATAAACATAAAAAAATGTCATATGTCAAAAAATAAATGTCAAATTTTTTTGACAGATAGAATTTTTAAAACATTTTTTTCGTGTTCCTGGTATCTTACCTTATATGGCATTTTTCTCTGGACGTATAAAACTTGATTCACCTGCTGTTGTAGGTATAAATCGATTTTAATTCGGTTAAGTCTAAAAACAAAACAAAACAACTTTTTTTTTTTAATAATACTTTTGTCACATAATAATGCATTGCAGGAGCAGGGTGCAACCAGCACTGTTTCGCATCAGCCCCCTGTGAAGTACGAATATCGCGATCCAACTGCAGCCCCCTACAACAGTTCTCAGTCTGAAGGAGCGGTGGGTCCAAAACCCTCCGAAATGAAATATTCTTGTTCTATGGAATTTGGAAGACATAACCACCTCGTGAGGAACTCTCTTGACCACATCCAACACAACCACACGTACCATCTACCCACCGAAAGTATGGGAGCAATGCAGCGTCCTGTTTCACGCGATAAAACCAAGTCGAAGAAAGGTGACGAGGAGCATTTGACGAGAGATGAGAAACGTGCTCGTGCCTTGAATGTTCCAATCACCGTCGACGATATTATTAATTTGCCAATGGACGAATTCAACGAACGCTTGTCTAAGTATGATTTAAGTGAGCCACAATTGAGTTTGATTCGAGATATTCGACGTCGAGGCAAAAACAAAGTGGCAGCACAGAATTGCAGGAAACGCAAGTTAGACCAGATTTTGAGTCTGGCTGATGAAGTCAAGGACATGCGAGACAGGAAAATGCGACTGATGAACGAACATGAATTCGTCACAGGCGAATGTCAACGAATGAAAGATAAATATCAGCAGCTATACAGACATGTTTTTCAAGTAAGTTGCACTGATATAAGTTTTTGATATAATTTATCTACAATTTTTTTTTCTTTTAGAATTTACGAGATCCAGACGGTAATCAATACTCACCGTATCAGTACAGTCTTCAGACATCTGCAGATGGGTCGATATTAGTCGTCCCTAGGTCTAATTCGACAATGACAAATCCAGAACATAAGGATTCTCAACCTCAAGGTCACAAAGATTAAATTGTTGACTAGTTTTATATGCATACATTTTTTGATGTAACACTTTTAAAGAAAGTTTCATTTCTCACGGCAAGAACGTTGCTCAAACATTATTTTTATATGTATTGATTTTGGAAAAGTTTTACTATATTATATACAAAAAGAAGTTTGATTTAACAGCTGGTGCTGAGAAAATTTTTTTTTATTGATTTTCAGCTCGGTTAAAAAGTTTTGAAAAAGTGCTTATTGATTTTCTTTTGTTTTTTAAGCGTTATTTCACTATAGAACTACGATAATATATTTTTCTAATACATGAAAATATCAGGTGATGAATATGCCTTTTTTTCATAATATACCTAATGTACATAGTTATTCTAAGTAGTGGATGAATGCGAGTTGATTGACGTTATTGGTGCTAGGAAGGAACTGGGAGATAGTGGAGCTAATTTTCATGCCAGTTAGACGTTCTGTAATCATCATTTTCGAATGATGGATGTGATTTATTGTAACCATGTTATTTTATACAACTATAGTACCCGTACTTTTTGATTATATTTTAATTAGTTATAACATCATGATTAAATTACTAGGCTAATATTTTTTATAAATCGTATAGGTTTTGTACATTGTATATCTTGTAAGTAGCTTATTAAGTATCCCTGTGAATGTGTAGCATTTCGTCAAGTGAATTGCTGGGTTTAATCTTACAACAGTTTGTACACTTAACATTTGCTTTTACAAGCAACTTATATTTGGTTATTGGTGCCAATAAAGATCTCTACAATATACTATGGTGTGTCCCCGAAATAAGTCTTAAAATTCTCGATTTAAATTTTCATTTTTTGGGGTTCAGCCTTGCTTCTTTAAAGACTAATTTCTAATACAATTTTAGTTTTGAAAAATCAAGTATTTCTTAGAAATTCTCAAAAAACCTATTTTTCTGTAGACTAAAGTGCCTTTTGTATGGCAAATACGACAATAAAAGTTGTTTAGAACAACTTTGATTTTTATTTTTTTTTATGTTTATTGTTTCACAAATCAAAGAACTTTATTTTTAACAGTTCTTTTATTACGAATAATATAAATCATAGTAGGCCAATGATTTTGAAATGTTAAATTTAAACAACTTTTCTTAATAACTTTTTATCTTATATTTTTATCTTACATAAAATACACTTTACAGAAAAATAGTTTTTTTTTTGTAAATTTCCAAAACTAAAATTATGTTGGAAATTCATCTTTAACTACTTAATCAGGGTTGAACCCTTAAAAAAAAATTTAGCGAGAATTATTTATCTTTTACAAAAATTTTTCACCTATCCGAGTATACCTGTGTTTTTATTTATCACTGACCTTTATACGATATTATCACTTCAAAAAATTCTAATTTTGTAAAATCCATGTGTAGGTCACTCGGGACATCTCAAAAATTTTGAATTTTTTGAATTTTTGAAGATGAGCGGTAGTAAAATCGTAAAAATAGTCAATTTCCTAAAAGTCGTAAAAACGCTTGAAATATGGTTTTCTAGACGTAAAATTACTCGCTGAACACGAT